TGTAATGAACTCCTCAAATGTACTGAAGAAAACAAGAGAAAATTATTTCACATCTTAACCGTCTAAAACAATATAGGAGAAGAAAACCAAGAACAAAAACACAAAAGAGACAAAATAATAACAATTTACATCATATGAAAGTAAAGCAATTAAAAAAGAACAATGTTTATCAAGCTGCTATTTTGACGTTGAAAATAAGAAACAAAAAAAAAACTTCCTTGTAACTAACAGCGTTTCCAAAAATGCAAGTTAAGCAGGAAGAACCATTTCCTTTATTCAAATAACTACCCAATGAAAACTTGACATATATATGCTTTCACCCAATTCTCCTTCACTCCAATTCAACATACTTTTGTTGCATTCCTAAATCTTAAAATTTATAATTAATCAAAATTCTAAAACATAATTAATATATTAAAATTAAAATCAAAGCATAAAGAATAAATCGTTTACGAACACATCCATAAATACGTAGACATCAAGCATGGGGACAAAGGCTTGAATTTTTCGAAGAAGTGAATGAACCTTACCCGAGAGTTGACTGACTGAATCTGTAGCAACCTTACCATCTTCAACCAATTTGGTCTGTGAACTACTCGTCTTAGTATGCATTCGCCTCTTGAAATTTTGTTAATTTGGTCCCAGTTTCATTTTGTTAATTGGCATAAAATTCTGTTTGAAAGAGCTTTGATTGATGGGAATTTATCTATGTTTTGCAGGAGGTCTATCTGCCATATTAATTTGTCAAAATAAGGCCCTACACTACACAAGGTATTGGAATCTACCAGTAGAATGAATGTTTTACATTTTTTCTGATTAAATCCACTTGAGGAAGTGAAATATTTTATGGTAGATATGGTATTACTTCCAGCTATGTAATTAAATACTCCTTTCTTCAATAAACCACATCATGGAATAATACAAAATTTGTTTTCACTTGTCTGTTTTGAACATAAAAATCATTGTGTTATGCAACTTGTTCCAAGGAAGATCAGCTGTTAATTTTGGTGGCTGGTAGTTAGAATGCCTCTTTATTCATGGTTGAGACACCAACAGATTTTCTATTTTCTATTTTCGAGGACATATTAGCAAACAGTTGGTGTACATAATTTACACATAAATTAAATTAAAGAAAAAGAACAACATAGAAACCATACACCGACACAACTTGTAAGGCATGGAAGCAGCTATCTACACAACTTGTTACAGTTTTGAAATCAAAGCCCCAATGGCACAACTATCTTGGGTAGCTATGGATATTAATTTTGACTGATAAAAAAAAATTAATAACAGATATTCAATGGTTAGGGTTTTGAAATCAAAGCACCAACGGCAAATTTGGATGAAGCTTAGAGTTAGCAACAAACCTGAACTACAGAAAAGAGTTCTCGAAAAAATTCGATTCGACTGGAAGGGAAGGGAAGGGAAAAGACGATGACTAGGTCATTGCTCACAAACCCATAGTGGAGACATCCAGAGAGTGAGAGCTTGTGAAGAAGATGTCGACATGGTTGAAGCCCGGATAGCCGACGAGGCTGATAGTCCTCGGAAGCTTCGGCTATGGCAGAAGAGAAGAGGGAGGAGAAGAGCCAACAAAAGGGCCAAACACGGCTGATTCAATTTTGCTTCCCCTTGTAACCAGCTACACCGGTTGCCTATTTGAGAGTTAAATTATTTAAATAATTTAGTTATGACTTGATTATGAGGTAATATGGTATAAATAAATAATTTAATATAACTAAGTTATGAGTCAATATGATAGTAATTATGACTAATATAGTATTGGTTATGACATTAAATCATATATGTTCATAACTAAATGTATGGTACATCTAAATGGATCATTTATTTGCATTGAGGTACAAATTACAGCAGATGATTCAAATATGAAGTTGTAGGGTTCTAGTGACAACTTGATTGTGTGGGGTAGGAAAACATGTTATATATCAGAAACTATGTTTCATCATTTGGTCACAACTTAAGAGAGTGTTTCAACTATTCACTGTATGTGCTGCAACAATACTTTGTAACATAAATAAATAAAGAAGAGGGGAGGGGGCTTATGACTTGTGAGCTTGAAGAATTTTTTCTCAAGTAAAAGGGTTATTTTCATTGTAATCATGTTGAAGATGATCCTTTTAACATACATCCACATAAAACCAATAATTAACTCTATTTACATCTTCTCTGTACCTGGTCAGCGACATCTAACCCAATTGTAATTATGCATTATTTTCAGTATTGAAGTTTTGTAATATTTCATTCTTTCTAATTTAAGTTGAGCTATAGTCTATCTGTGTGTATTCTTGGTATGTTCATATATTTGCTACAGAATAATATGATATCATGATATTCTTTAGCATCATCTTGGTGTTTTTTTCTAATAAAAAAATTCCTTATTCATCACAATATATATATATATATATCATGATGTAGACATTTTTTAATCAAAGCTCAAAACTTCACTTTTTTCAGATTTAGTTTGTGGCATGAAAAGAAACAAGTTTACAGCCACCGAGAGGGATCGGATTTCTTCTGTCCTAGACCGGGCATTTGTTCGCCTTGAAGCATGGTTTCAATGGTTTAATACTACGCAATCAGGTAAATCTAGAGTTTTATTTTTATTTTTATTTCTCTCTCATTGGGTGATTAATTTTTTAGAAATGTTAGGGATAGTTACAGTGTTACCAACACACATGCAAGTTTATGCAGGTCCCACACCAAGTGATGGTAGATCCATTAAAGCTTATGAGTTGTGTTAGTAATAAGATTGTTAGTTGAATATTCCTAGCATTGTTAATTTTTTCCATTTGAAGATATCACTGGAAAACTCTACCACCAATCCTAGATTGGGCATTCCAATGGATGTTGCCCGTCTTCTCTAGACTTCTTGATGATAGGATAAACTTTTCACATTCCACATCATATTGATCTGTCAACAATGTGTCTGATGGACCCTGTTACCCCTTTAGTCAGACATTTTAAACCATGAATAGCAAAGAAGTGAGCAAAAGGACGAATGGTTATTCATGTAACCAAGCAAAGTAAGATCCTTGCGGCTCTGTTGAGTCTGACTATATAGAGAACGCATTCATAATTTATTTTTTCTTTCATTTTGAACATTTTCTTTTTTTCTATTATTAATAGAATTTTGTTCTTTGTTGCTGATCAAAAAAACAAAAACAAAAAAAGGACATTTACAATTCCTGCAAAATATGTTTCAACTTGGATCATTGTTTCTGAGAAAGATAAGATATATGTTGATTTGTTTCATACTTCTGTGAGTATTTTCTTTTCTAAGTCAATGCTTTGATTAACAGGCAAGGATATGAGCAGCTATTTTTGGCATGGAAGAGACAACGCAACCATGCGCGAATTAAATCCTAAGGTTCCACTCCACATGATTTAATGAAATTTTCGGAATAATTAAATACAGCCCTACTAAGGACACCAACTTTTCCCTTGCCCTCTCATTGTGATGGGGGCAGTGATAATGGCTGTGAAAAAATATGGTTTTTGTGATCTTTTCCAATTAAATATGCTCGTTATTTCCTTTTACTTATGGGCTTTTAAACAGGGAATGATATTTAATATTGGGCATGATATGGAATATGAGTTCTCAAGCAGTATTTTTTGGTTCAAATATTGGGAGTTGTGTAGTCCTGTACACTAGTAGGATCTCTATTTCTCTCTTTTTTTCCCTTTTTTGAGAAGAAAATATTATTAAAAAAATTTTATGTGTAGTCCTGTACACTAGTAGGATCTCTATTTCTTTCTCTTTTTTCCTTTTTTTGAGAAGTAAATATTATTAAAAAAAATTAAAAAAAAACACCTAAAGGGGCACAACCTCTGTACATGATGTATACAAGTCAACTAAAGCCAATCCATAAGGCTTAGTTGAATCAGATCAAAATTGATCCTAATCAATATGCTGTAGGAATCCCTTAATCAGTGCACCTGCTCTAACCTATCAAACTTATGGGTTCACCGTATATCTACTTAAGCCATTTTTGTTCTTTTTCCAACATTCTGTTCTTTTTCACTCATCCTCTAACTTAAAAACCTTACAAAGATTGTTTCTTCTAATCCAAGAGGAAACAAGAGTATTATAATCAACTCATTGAAGAACCTTTGAAACCACTAGCTGTGTAACTAGATGAAGTACACGAATGCTGGTGATTCTGGATCTCCAATCATAGTTTATTCCATCTATTTATCCAATTGTTCCCCTTTTAGTAACATTACCAATGTTTAAAACAGATCTATTCATCAAACACACCAATGGTTGTGTTACCATATTAACATTGTCACTGGAATGTCCAGACACTGACCTCTGGGTTGGATGATTATCCATGTGCGTCGCACCCAATTGAAGATGAACGTCATTTGGATCTTAGATGTTGGATGTTTCTTGCAGCAGATTGCATGCATTCAATCTCAAAGCTTCTTCAGAAGGAACATGAACTCGGGAAGGTATGACAATAGGAATAGACATTTGCATCTCGGGGTTCATGTCTTGCCATATTAAACCTCCAAATGGAAATAATGCAGGAAAGGAATATGATTCAACAGCTAAGCTGCTCTCGAATTTTGAAATCCTAAATCAGGTTTGTGCAAAGTTCATTATGTTATCTAGCATTATTTCTTGTTCTTCTAGAGCTTCTATAATCTTTTGTAATTGGTGATGCCTTTTTTTTTTTTTTTTTTGGTAGTTCTATAATTGGGTAGAAAGTAAAAGAAAAGTTTATAATTATTTGGAAATCTTCTTTGCTGCAATACATTTGTATTCTATCAAAAAATTATTTCCAATTCAATACGAACTAATGTTTCAAGAAGTGAAATAAGGTGCTTAATGTTTTTGCAGATGCACTTTGATGATGCACATGGAACTTACTTGGATTTTGGAAATCACACGGAAAAAGGTATGCTCTTTGCCCATTTATTATTCCTTTTAGATTATGGTACCACTATCCTATATTCAACTGAAAAAGTCTAGGATCACAGAACCGGATACAACTGATCGGTTTCTGTGTACGTAGAACTCGTATTCAACTTATACACAATAATTACAATTCACAAAATTATTATATGCAACTGAACCATAATATAAAATGCTAAGAACTGTCTACATTGTCATAGTCTTAAAAAATGATTAATCCTTCCAGGTTCGTTTGATTTGGTGAGAAGTAATGGGAAACAACCATTATGCAAGTCGAGAGCTCGTACAGGAAGCTTTAGAACAGCCAAGATTGAGGTTTGTTCCTCATATTGGCTATGTTTGCCTTTTCCCATTTGTGGCGAAGATTATTCCACTTGTAAGTTGCATGAAGGATCTCATCACGAAGCAATGTTTTCTCAATCTATTTGTGCTTCTGTTTAGTGTTTCTTACCTCTACACTGTCGTAGTATGAAGCTCTGATTCAACAAAAAAAATCCCCATTCCTTCATTTGGGTTGTGTTTGGATCTTGGATTTAGGTGGAGATTTGTTTAGGGAAAGGAAATGAGAAGAGAAATGTGAATGGAATACGAGCTGATGTTATTTCACATTTCCACTCCTTTTCCCTCAGCAAATCACTAACCAAATCCATGATCCAAATATAGCCTTAATGTTATTTTCAATTGGTGATTACATATCATTCGCATTTACAAATACACATATAGGACTCAACGATCCTAGAAAAACAGCTGAATCTCATTTCAAACCGGAGCATTTTATGGACTGATTATGGACTCCGCTCTCTTTCCAAAACAAGGTGATGGAAGTTTCTCAAGCAGTGCATCATTTATGAGCTCCTTTATCCATACATTTATTCTATTATATAAAACACACGATCAACTTGGTGTGAGCGCCCATGTCACATATTTTCTCATGCCCAAATTTCCACCTATGTAACTGCGAAGTTTCTTATTTCAATTTTTTTCTCCTCCATCTACATTTAAATTTCTTTTTTCATAAGACGGTGACAACTGTCTTCTATTTCTGCACACGCATTCACTTGTGTGCTCAACTTCTAGTGTATGTTGTTATTTGCATGATATCATGTTTATTCTAGAACTACTAAAGAAATTAATTTGTGAAACTCCTCTTGTATGCCAAAGCTCAATGTACATGAAATACAACACGGAGCATGATGCACCCTATTGGAGAGGCCAAATTTGGATGAACATCAACTACATGATTCTTTCCTCGCTTCACCATTACTCTAAAGGTACACAAATACAAACATAGATTTATCTATTGTAAATTAAAAATAAAAATAAAAAAACTCTGATTTTCAATAAAATCTGAACGCATGGCATTGACACGTGCAAAAAATGGACCGTATAGAGACAAAGCCAAGATCATCTATAATGACTTGAGGAGCAATTTGATTAGGTAAGTGGTATGACATTGTTAGTTCTTAATCAATGCCTCTGATCTAAACTCTTCAGTCAATTCTGATGAGTATTATTCATTTCTATTATGGCAAAAACGTTGTGAAGAATTACCAGCAGATACGGTATTTCTGGGAACAGTTTGATCAAAAGAAAAGTAAGGGGAAAGGTGCACGCGTATTTCCTGGCTGGACATCGCTCGTGTTGCTGATCATGGTAGAAGCTTATAGTGAATGCTCGGAACTTGGGACTCAATTTTGTAATTTTCTAAGAAAATTATAAAGTCATTAGAGGATAAAGAAGACCACAAACAAATCAACTTGTTAGTTCTGTATAATCTCTCCAATTCAAGATATGCACTATACTTATTGTCGCAAGTTAATTTGAAAGGTAAGGTTTGAAGTTATTGGTTATGATATGTGGATGATGTTATTGAGAGTTTGTAATATCCTCCTCTCTCAGGCTGGTTTTACATTGATCATGGATGAAACCAACTGATATGCTGACCAGAATGGACCCCATTAAAAATTGTTGTTTAAGAATGACCCCAAAATCAAGCCAATATTTATGGCATTTATTTTTGCTTCTCAAACAATTTTCTTTTTGGATTTAACCATTTCCTGTTAGGCTCTACTATTTCAGGGGAAAATGTTTTTAAATTTTTTCGTAAAAAATGTTTTCTTATGTTTAATTACAATCTTGAAACTAATACGTTAGTGGCGGTGTTAGTGATGATGGTGAGGTGGTGAAAATAATGCATTTATGGCAATGGTGGCGGCAGCGGCAAGGTGGTGGGGTGGTCAAATAGGTGGTGATGATGATCATGGGATGGTAATAGTGTGGCTTAAAATTTGTCTAGAAAACATTTTTCACCATTCAAAAAGTTAAATATTTTTTACTCAAATAAGCTTAATTTTTCATTTTGTCATTCCAAACAACTACAAATGCGAAAAGAATGATTTCCAAAAACAATTTTCACCAAAACAAGGCCCTAGTATTAACAGGAAGTTTGGAGAGCTGAACCTCACGCTTGAATTTTGAGGATCGATTATGGATGGTCTCAGATGAAAATCAGATCCAATCAAGATTAGTCCAGTCTTTCTAACAGATGCATCATTTGTAATGAATTTAGCCATGTCCAGCAAGATTATACATGATCTCTCCCTCAACAATTAAAATGCAAACTAATGATCTCTAATCAATTGCAATTTGTGTAACATTTTTTTTTAAAATACTTCACTAGCAAGTCAAATGCAAGGTGTCTTAACGCCAAAATCATTATTAGAAAATTGCAAAAACTGTTTCCATTATTCAAGATATCAGTCTTTAACTCCCATTTTCTGTCATCTCCTTGTCCTCAGCCATTATGATCTCCATGTCCCTGATATCCCGCTTCAACACATTACCTAGCCTTGCAATGGCTTCTGTCTACTGTTGTAAAACCTGCATCAGAAAATACTATCATTTATCAGAGCATCACACATTTAATGAACACAAATTACAACCATGCGTTTCATTCTAGACATATCCACACTTATTAACTGACATTGCAGAAGGAAGAACGAAAAACTCATAATCGCCATATCTACCTCTTCTAGCCTCAAGAATAGCATTTCAAATATTGGCACTCACCTCCTGCATATCAACAAGACTCTGATCATGTATTTTGGTTGATCCCGGAAGATAAATGGAACCACCACCACCACCACCATTTGCCTGAACACGAGCCATAGTAAGCAGATTTTGGACCCTCCTAGAAAGCTCTGCTCCAGATCCTTTCAATTGTATAGGTATGTGCTAATTAGAATGATGCTTTTTCACAGGCCAACAAGAATAGGATGTATGAAACAAGAAAGACGAGGAACACCAACCTGCCTAGTTATTACAGCCAACTTCTTAGCCAATTCAGCTTCACCTTTCATTAAAGGCACTCTGAAACCTTTACCCTCCAATGCCTCTATTATTCTCATGACCTTTTGACACCCCCACATACAAACAAACATATAAGAAAAACAAGTACACCGTGCTACATGCATTGATTTTTCACATGAATGATCAAGAACGCAAAGCAAACAAATGTATGCGTCGCCTAGCGGATCTGGTAGAAATCAAGCATAGGTAGAGACTTGAACCCTTGCACCTTGCTAGGAGCTTTAGGGTTAAAGTCTTGCCACTGGCAAGATTGCCCCCTCCAAAAAGTTATGGTCTCTAATGTACCGGAGAGAGAGAGAGAGAGAGAGAGAGATTACGCAAATTAGACAAAATTGTTCAAACAGACTACCAAAATGATTCACAACCATGTTGCTTAACCACTTGGAGTACAGAAGACAACGACAATTGACCCGGCCATGCAGACACGTCCTTACTACTTGTATAACGAATTTTCGAACATTCATCTCCGTTCTCAAAGTAAAATAAATAATAAAGCCAAAAGAGGTCCTACCCTTGAGAGGCGCCTTTGAAGACCTTGCTTTTTCTGTCTCATTCTTTTTATCCAGGGAAGAGTATCAGCTTGAAAGTGCCTTTGAAGCTGCAATCACATGTATGAAATTGAATATTATAAATCCATGATATGCACCCAAAATGCGGGCAAACTGAGGGTGCGCACACAGAAAAAGAGAGAGTACCAATTTCACATTACTTTGAGTCATTCGCAATCTCTCAGCATCAGAGAGTATAACTTCATCTTGAAGCTGTATTAACCAAAACACTATAATGTAAAACAATTGAAGTACAACAAAGCGGTAACAACAATACATTAGGCCAAGGAGCATCCACTTAATGCTGAATACATTAAATAGATAAGCATCCCCAAAACTAAAACTACATCATGATAAAAACACATATCATTATGAATATCACATCCTCACATCATCTATATCATTAATCAGCTTTAAAGAAGAAACAGAATCCTGTAGTAGAACAACGATCAGTAGGGTCCTCTGCCCAATCAGCATCAGAAAATGCATGTAACTGTAGGAAAAAGTGAGCGGAGTAGTGAAGACCATGAAATATAGTGCCTTTGAGATATCGTAAATTGCGAACTAGAGCATCATAGTGTGGAGAGCGAGGAACAGTCATGAACTGACTAACAATATGAACAGCATAAGCAATGTCTGGACGAGTAACTGTGAGATAGACAAGATTGCCAACTAGTTGACGATATAAAGCAGCATTAGACAACATGTGACCATCAAGAGGTGTGAGACGAGTCTGCCTGCTGATAAATTATTAAAAAAATTAAAATAACCTGTATTAGATAAAAAATAAGTATAAAAAATTGAAAAATTACAGAATAATATAAATACGTACATAAACAAAAATTGACAAATAATGAAAATTAATAATATTGTTCCATTCATAGCAATACATAAATAAAAATTCATAACAATAAAAATTATGCCACTACATAACGTCGCATAATACATACATAATGTTGCTCCCAAATTTAAATAACATAAATCAAAATCAAAATCAAAAGTTTTCGTCTTCATTCGTTCGTGGGTTACAAAAACAAAAATTGGTCATAATCTTGATA